TTGGGGGCCTCTTGGGCCGTCTCGGGGCGATCTTGGGGGCCTCTTGGGCCGTCTGGGCGCGTCGGAAATCGGAATTAGCAAGAACGCCACAATCTTTCGAAAACGTATGGGGAATCCATGAATTCTGCCTCTTGGGGCTCTCGTGAGAAAGCTCCTGGAGGCCTCTTAGGGGCGCTTTGCAGGCCTCTTGGGCCGTCTGGAGGCCGTCAAGGCGTCTTGGACAGATCGTTCGGCGATTCCGGGTTCTCTTGGACTGTCTTTGGGGCCTCTTGGGGCACTCTTAGCCCGTCTTGGGGTTTTTTGGGGCTCCGGGACTCCCAGGGGGGGCGTCGTATCTGACCCCCCCCCGGGGGCGTCTGACCCCTCCCCCCCCCAGGACCCCCGCCCTCCCCCCCTCCCCCGGCGGGGGAGGGATCGAAGGGAGGGGATTCCCTTCGACTCAATTACGACGTTGCTTATTTTCGCTCTGGCTGGCGCGCTGAGGAGATCCCTGGGAAAGGGAGGAGCTTCGACGAGCCCAGGGAAAGGGGGGAGGCAGGGAGAGGGGACGACAGAGACGACGACCAACGAATGACGGAGATGACGACTTGAACGGACAAGCCCTTCGCACACGCCGACAGGGTCGGCGGACTTTTTCCTCTGGCGCAGTACATCTGCAACACAGTCGCCCCAGCTGTATTCCACCACCTCTAGGCTGGACCCCCTCCCTTCTCTGGAGTCGACCAGAGGTGTGGGCGGCGCGCGCGCCGCCTGCGGCGGCGGGCCCGGGGATGTGTGGGCGCGGCCGTGCCGCGAAGCGGCGGGTGCCGGAAAAAAAAGGGGGCGGCAGTGCGATCCCGGGCCACCCTTGTTGTCTTGGCATTGCTCGGACGTGTGCATTTTTCCTTCGGCGAGGACCATCGAGGAGCATCCTTGATCATTTGGAGAAACAACCACGCACGAAACCGACAAAAGCGCAGGGAATGGACGTCCGAGCGATGGCGAGTTGTGCTCCTGCGTAGGGCGTCTTGCAGACTTGCCCCGCGCTCCGTCGGGCCGAGCAGGCGGCCGCGGCGCGGCTGCTCTAAAGGAGCTGCCTCGCTCGAGGCAGAGCGCCGCCGCCGCCATGCTTCCCCGCGCGTGCAGTGAGATTACCAGCCTCGAACGTATCCCTACCCCTAAGATTGACACGCCAAAAGGCGATGACAATCTTAGGGATTCGCCCTCAAAAAATAAGAGAATCCCTAAGATTGGCATCGTAAGGAGGAGGTGCCCAGCATAAGGATAGGGATATGTTCCAGGCCGGTAATGAGAGGGCGCCCGACGAGACGGGTGAGCGGCGCAGAAGACGACGGGGACGTCTTCACCGACGTTGGCGCGTGAGCTTCCCGCGCAGAACCTGGCGCGTGGGCGCGCCCTCGCTGCCAGTGTGGCTCTTAGCGGGCCCTGGAAACGACAGGGCCGTTTTTTAACCGGTTCCCATTTGCCGTTTTTTGCCGGTTCCGACGCCGTTTTTTTACCGGCTCCGTCGCCGTTTTTTGACGGGTTCCGGCTCCGGGTCCAATCCTGGAGCCGTTTTTTTGCCGTTTCCGGTCGCCGTTTTTGTTGCCGTTTCCATGTTCAAGGGAATTTTTTCGGAAACGGTGAAAAAACGGCCCTGCCGTTTCCGGGGCCCACAAAGGTGTGGCTTGCTTCGCTGGCGCCCCCGCCGCGACAGCCACCGCGCAGGCTCGCAGGCCTCACTTCGCGAGAGACCCTTTCTCTCTTCGTCGCAGCGGAGCGTTCGACGCTGGCGTTGGCAGTGTGTCGGTGCAGCCTCCTGCCGATGTCGCCAATCGATGCGTGTTTTCTGCCGAGTTGCAGTCGGTAGTTTTATTTAGAGGTCGGGTAATTGCAGTCGACCCGCATGGCAAGGATGAGCAACCTTCCCAGGGGTACCCTTGCATCCTTGCCTCCTCGGCCCATCCTTGGCCACTATCGTTGACCGCGCCCCGCTCGAAAAGCTTCGAAATGGCCTTCAGGGCCCTTGCATCCTTGCCGCGCATCCTTCTGCTACGGGCCCCGTGGTGCGGTTTACTAGGAAATTGCTGTGCCGCGTGTTCCCTTTTGGAGTGTCCCCGGGTAGCACAGCACACGCACTGTGAAGTGGGCGCCCGGGCGCTGGCGAGGCTCTCCTCTGCGGCCCGCGGGCGCCCGGCCAGGGCCGCGCCCGCGGCTCGTCGGCAGCGCGCGAGCTGGCCGCCCCGGGCGCGCCCGCCCGCACACGCGGCCAGGGCGCCGCGAGCGGCCGCCGGCGGCGGGGGCTGAGAAGGGACGGCAGAAGGCGTGCCCCTTCGCAGTCCCTGCGCACCAGGAGTGCCCCTTCGCAGTGCCTCCGCGATGCCGTCGCACGCATTCGCAGTACCTTCACCATATATTACACTAATATACATTGATTTTGGCCCGATATGGGTTCATATATCACAATAATTCATGTTTAAACATTGGCTGCCTTCGCACCAGGGAGAGCCCTTCGTTCCTCGGCGCCTGTTCCAGTACCTTCGCGCAGTGGGCGTCGGCTTAGGGATCTCCCTGCGCCAGCTCACCGCCCCGAGAGCCGCGGAGGCGGAGAGCTTGGAGGATCAAGAGGTCATGAGAGGGATTCGTTCCAGAATATCCCTGAGTTTGTTCTGTAGGATTTCCCGTACTACCTGTGTGGGCCACACGGGCTGCTAAAACGAGGGCCGCTCGATACTCTGGAAATCCCAAAACTTCTCTTGATACAGCCTTATCATGACTCCGCCACGCGCAGAGGGAGATAGGGGGGGCGGGGAAGGCGTCTTAGAAGCACCCCTGCTCCTTAGAGGGCGCGGGCCTTGTCTGCAGACGTAAGGCCAGCGCCTAGTGAGAAGTGACCTTCTTCCAAGAAGCCTTCCCCCCTCCCCCCCTGCCCCCCTCTCTCGGGTCGGGCGAAAGGGGGGGATTGGGAAAGGGGGGGTTACGAAATTTGCTGCATGCAGCTGGTTTCGGCCTCACCAAGGGGCCCATTCCTCGATACATGGCCGCCTCTGGCGCTGGGAGGCGCCGGGAAAGTCAGCTGCGTGAGCTGATTCTCAAATCCCCCCTTTGCTATCCCCCCCTTTCGCCCGACCCGAAAGGAATCCGCGCGGCGCGCCAAAAGGTTATGTGTATGCCATTGTTTCCTTCTTCTACTGACGTTCCCAGCGCGCCCAGCGAGGGCACCTGGAAGCCGAGAGCAGCCCAGCACCCCCGCCGCGCGACTTTGCTATCCCCCCCTTTCGCCCCCCCCTCTCGCCCCGTAGAGCGGCCCGGTGGCACCTCGCCGCCAGCCGCCTCGGCCCTCGCCCAGCGGGCTCGAGCGGGGAGCCCGGCGGGGGGGGGGGGCGGGCGGCCGCCCGGGCAGAGGAGGCGGGCGCCGCCGGGGGGGCCCAGCCGCGCGCAGAGGGGGTGTAGCGCTCGAGTGGGCCGCAGCCCGGGCTTCGCCTGCGCTCTCTGGCGGGCGCGTGCCGGATCTTCACGGCCCAGTGTTCGTTGGGACGTCTGCAGCGGGAGCTCGCGTCAGGTTTTTCCGACCAGGTCTCGTCATCAGGTCTCGTCATCTTCGTGCTGGCCCCGTCACGCCAACCCGAGTCCTCCGAACCCGAGTCTTGCGTCTCCCTGAAGGGGGGTAGGGGGAAGGGCGGAAGGCTTCTCAGAAGCAGCCCTGCTTCTCAGAGGGCGCGGCCTTCTCTATGGATGTGAGGCTAGCGCCTCCGACTCCTGAGAGGCGGCATCTTTCCGAGGCGCCTTTCCCCCCTCCCCTCCCCCATTCCCCCCCTCCCCCATTCCCCTCCCCCATTCCCCTCCCCCATTCCCCCCCCCCCATTCCCCCTTCCAAGAAGCCTTTCCCCCCCTCCCCCATTCCCCCCCTTGCGCACGCCGCCAAGGGGGGGCTCAGCAGCGCTGGTCTGTGGCAGCCCGCGGGGCGTACTACTGGCATCAGCCCCTGGCCCAGCCACGTTCCGACAATGCATTATGCTGTCACCAGGTGTGTGGCCAGTGCTGCGCTGTCTTGATGCCCGTCTGCTGCTGCCTCCGCAGATGCCTTCGCCGTCGCCCTCGCCGCTGCTCATGCCCCCGACGCTGTAGCAATTTGGTGCCCACCGCCTTGGTCCTCTTCGCCAGCTGCAGTCGGGGTCGCGGCGTTCTGGTGGAATTTGGGTAGGGGGGGGTGCTGTATTTTTGTCCCTCCAGCTCCCTCTTTCTCCATCTCCTTTCCTCCCCTTTTTCCCTCCCTCACCCGTCCTTTTTGTATCCCTTCCTTTCCCCTTGCATTCCCTCGTCCTCGTTCCTAATTTTCTCTCTCCATCCCTCGTCTTCAATTCTTCCTCAATGCAGGCACTGCGGGTACTGAAAGGGTGAGTACTTCTTCATCCTCCCTCTCCGTCATCTTCCCTCGCGCATTTCAGTATCCCCCCGTTCTCCCTCTCCCTCATCTTCCCTCTTGATCCCTCTGCCCCCTCCCTTTCCTCCTCCGTCCCTCATCGTTCCCCGCCCCTTTTCGCCCCCGTCCTACTCCCGTCGGATCCTTGCAGTGCACCTTTCGCGACGACGACGACGACGCCAACAGATCAACGGCGCGCGCCGATGCCGGCCACGATGTCGCCAGCGACGCCTGCGATGACGACGACGACGACGACGACGACGACGACGACGACGACGACGACGACGACGACGGCGACGGCGACGGCGACGGCGACGGCGACGGCGACGGCGACGACGACGACGACGACGGCGACGGCGACGGTGACGGCGACGGCGAAAGCGACGGCGACGCGCTGACGACGGCGACGCCTGACGACGACGCCGACGACGACGCCGACGACGACGCCGACGACGACGACGAAGACGGCGACGGCGACGACCTCGGGGCTCGTGCGGCGCTGTCAGGCCAGCCCACGCGAGGGGCTGCGCCGTGCTGCGCCGAGGATGGCGCCCCTCCTCGGTGAGGCCACGCCCGGGCACGCCGCCGAGGAGCCCGGATGGTGCCCGCCGGCATCGTCGTCGTCGGTCGTCGGTCGTGCTCGTCGTCGTCGTCGTTATCGTCGACGTGATCGTCGTGGTCGTCGTGGTCGTCGTCGTGGTCGTTGTGGTCGTGGTCGTGGTCGTCGTCGTGGTTGTCGTCGTCGTGGTCGTCGTCGTCGTCGTCGTCGCGGTCTTCGTCGTCGTCGTCGTCGTGGTCGTCGCAAGTATCGGCGGCGTCGGCGTTTGTGTGGACGTTGCCGTCAGTCACGTCGTCGTCGTGGCTGGCGTCGCCGTCGTCGCTGTCGTCGGCGTCGGCGAACGTTGGCGCCGCCTTCGGCGTCGATGTCGCAGTGGGCGGTCGAAGGGGGCCAGCAGGCGTTTCCAGTCGGCTGGGCCGGCAGGCAGGCGGGCAAGGCAGGCGAGGCGGACGGGGCGGGAGAACCGAGAGACGAGGGAGCGCAAGGAGGAGGAGAAGAAGGAGAAAGTGCCAAGAAGGAGGGAATGAGGGACGAGGGGGAGGAGGAGGAGGGGGAGGAGGAGGAGGAGGAGGAGGAGGAGGAGGAGGAGGAGGAGGAGTTGCAAGAGGAGGAGGAGGAGGAGGAGGAGGAGGAGGAGGAGGAGGAGGAGGAGGCGGAGGAGGAGGGCTACGAGGAAGGGCAGGTGGAAGAGGCGGATGGCTCAGCGAAGCAGGCGCGGTCCAGGCCGCGGTCCGCGCGCTCCCGCCCCCTCCGGGCGCCCGCGGCGGAGCGCGTGGGGCGTGCGCGGCAGGGCGCCCCCGCGAGGCCGACGGCCCCGGGGCGCCACGGTTCCCACGCCTCGGGCGATGCAGGCCGGGGGGTGCAGCCATGGGCTGGACGCCCGAAATGGGTAATTACGGAAAGAATGGGTACAATGCCCAACAGCAGTTCCTGTTCATTTTGAACAGGGTTCGCTGTCCACGCCGCCGCGGCCTGTGCCCATTCGGGACAGAGGGCCGCCTGCCCAACAGCGGCCGCTGTTGGTTTGGAACGACATTTACTGTTGGGCATTGTACCCATTTTTTCGGTACCCATTTCGGGCGTCCAAACATGGGCTCCGGAGAGGCTCGGGTTCAGTCGGGCATGTCCCCCTGCAGGGGGAACGTTCAGCAATCAATCGTATAGAGAGAGTACGGGGATCAGTTTTCCATTATTGTTGACACTGTTTGTATATTTGTTGGTTATTTTCGTTTGTTCAGAGCGTGAATTACCTACCCCGCTTTCGCTTCCAGGCAAAACCAAGCCATACCACGCGCCTCCTCGTTAAGCGGCCTGACCAGTACAGGCCGTAGTTTGGCATCGTTTGGTATCTCTTGGAAGCGAGGGTGGTCAACAGCGTGGTAGGGTTGTTCTCCCCCTACGTGGGCTCCGGAGGGGCTCGGGTTCAGTCGGGCATGTCCCCCTACAGGGGGAACGTTCAGCGAAAAATAGAATATAGAGAGAGTGCAGGGATCAGTTTCGCATTATTGTTGACAATGCTTGTATTTTTTTGGCTATTGTTCGTTTGTCGCCCGACATCCACCTGTAGGAGGGCACGACCGACCTGAGGCTCGGACCTCCGTGCCGCTCCCTCGAGTCTGGGAGGGGGGCCTGTCCAGGGCCGAGGCTGGGGGCACGAGCAGTGACACAGACAGACATAAAACAACTCGGAGGTCCACGCGGACCTCCGAGTTGTTATGTTTGCGTCGTTGCTCGTCTCCCTCGAGTTCTGCTGTTCCCATCCTACTTGAGGACCGCATCCCAGAAGTAGTTCCGAGCACCCGGACAAGTGTCAGAAGAGTGTCGAAACAGTGTCGGGCGAGTGCCTCCCCAGGGCCCGACACGTGAAAACCCTTGAGCTTCGGTACTTTTTTGGGGCGTTCGAAATTCTCCCTGGTGATCCAGGCTAAAGCAGGTTGGAGCACCATAACCCTCGAAGTTCCGCCGTGGCCAGAGAAGGCCGTTCGTCCCTGCCTCGGCGCCCCGTGCGGCAGCCTCGAGGGCCGCAGGGCCTCCCCAGCTCCCCGAGCCGAGTCCGGCCGCGGCGGCGCCTGAGTCGGGCTGCGCGGCCGTGTCCACAGGCTCCAGGACCATGGCGGAGGGTCCCTGCCGCCTGGGTTATGATGCTCCGACCCACTTTAGCCTTGCCCACCAGGAAGAATTCCGAGCGGCCCCCAAAAGTACCGAAGCTCAAGGGTCTTCACGTGTCGGGCCCTGGGAGACACTCGCCCGACACTGTTTCGACACTCTTTTGACACTTCTCTGGGTGCTCGAAATTATTTCTGGGATGTGGTCCTTACGTGGGATGGGAACAGCACAACACCCGGGGCAGGGGAGGACCGCGGCCCCCGTTGGGCCGCACGAGGCCGGTGCGAGCGGCGGCGCTCCCTCGCGCTCTGGGTCGACCGTGCGCCCCTGCCCCCCTCGACGTGGACTCGGTGTTTTGGGGGCGGCCCCGGACGCTCCGCTCCGCGGCAGGTCGCGGCAGCCTCGCCGCGCCGGTGGCCTGCAGGGCTGGGCCGCGAGGCACTCCAGCCTGCCTGCGGCCCTCGCCACCTGCACATCGGCTGAGGGGCACCTGCAGTGGGCGCCGAGCTTGCCAGCCTGGAACGTATATCCCTATCCCTGTGCTGGGCATCTCCTCGTCACGATGCCATTCTTAGGGGTTCCCTTATTTTTTGACGGCGCACCCCTAAGATTGTCATCGCCTTTTGGCGTGTCAATCTTGGGGATAGGGATAAGCTCGAGGCTGGTAATGAGCTGACCTCCCCGAGAGCTGCGGCCGCCTCCAGCTTGAGCGAGCGGTGCCTCGACGAGACGCACGGGGTCGGCGCCGCCGCCTGTAGCGCTGACACGCCGCGCTTGCTCCAGGGCGAGCCGGCTTGCGCCCGGGCGGCCGAGGGGCACCTGCAGTGGGCGCTGAGCTGACCTCCCCGAGCGCTGCGGCCGCCTCCAGCTTGAGCGAGCGGTGCCTCGACGAGCGCCCGGGGTCGGCACTCGCCACCTGCACACCGGCTGAGGGGCACCTGCAGTGGGCGCGGAGCTGACCTCCCCGAGCGCTGCGGCCGCCTCCAGCATGAGCGAGCGGTGCCTCGACGAGCGCCCGGGGTCGGCGCCGCCGCCTATAGCGCTGACACGCCGCGCCGGCTCCGGGGCGAGGCGGCTTGCGCCGGGGGGTGGCTCGGCCAAAGGCCCGAGCCCGGCACGGCTCGGGCCGAAGCGGTGGCGGAGCAGGCGGAGGAGGGGGAGGAAGAGGGCGAGGAGAAGGGGAAGGATATGACAGAAGGGAGCGTGAGGAGGAGGAGGAGGAGGAGGAGGAGGAAGAGGAGGAGGAGGGGGAGGGGGAGGGGGAGGAGGAGGAGGTAGAGCGGTAGAGGAGAGGGGGGAGGATAAAGGGAAGACGAGAGGAGGAGGAGGAGGAGGAGATTCGATAAGGCATACGCGACGTAGCGCAGAGCTTGTGAAATTCGAGGAGCGGGGAAGAAGGGCGCCTTTGAAGGGTCTCGGCTGAATGGTCGGGCGCCCTTCCCATCCAAGATTTCCTGGAGCCCCGCACCCCTTCGCAGCCAGGGCAGATGCCAGCAAGAGTCCGTCCAGTGCCCGCGTGCTCGCGGCAAGTGCCGCCGCTGTGCTGTCGAGGCGCTCCCTGTGGCGACCTCTCGCGAACTGGGTAGGGAGCGCCCCCCCCCCCCTTGGAACGTTGCCCAAACCCTGCCATGCAGCTAGCAAACATGTGGTGGATATGCCCAGCACAATGCTGGCCTCCGATTGTCAGGATTTGTGCGGTCTGGCTGGAGGTTCCACGTACCAGGCTTCTGCTTGGTCTTGCCCGTCATCGTCCTACTCTTGCTCATGTTCCTCCTCCAAGGCTATTTTGGCTCCACCTTCAGCGCAGGGAACATTTTGATTTGCCAAGAGTGACACGCGCAATGGTACGCCCGAAGTCGTTTCGTGCTCTGTCGTTGATCCGTGTCATAGTTGCTTACGCGATCTTGATGGTCAGCATCAACATTGCCATGTTCAATGTGGAATCGTTGCAGCCGTGGTTGGTGCCAGGACTCGCCAGCGTTCCCCTCATGTCAGTCTTTCGTCGGCCCCATTCTCGAGCTTCAACATGCATGTCAGCGTGTCCTGTCGCGGCGTTGGTCGGAGCCGTTCTCCCAGGAGATGCCCAGGCACCTGCATCACACAATACCATCTCAAAAAAGACAGTTTCAGTAAGCGATACGATGACGAAGACCGCACAGTTTGTGAACTACAACGGTGACATTTACAATGTCACGGGTTTTGTGCATCCGGGTGGGCAATCAATTCTCGATGTGTTCCACGGGCGAGATGCAACTTTTGCGTTCGAAGACGCCGCACACAGCAAAGGCGCGGTTCGTTTATTGAAGAGATATCCCAAGGTTGGATCGTATGTGCCAGGAAAGGCCGATGAACAGCTTTTAGGAAAGGTTCGACAGCGTTCTATCAGTCCAGACTCCGAGCCTGTCAAGTATTCAAGCGCAATGGGTGTCACGGGTTTTCTTCCCCCCAGTGTTCCTAATTTTGATTTCAAAGGTCCCTTGCTGACATCGCTAGTGGCACTGCTAGACGCCATGCCAGAAATGTCCTCAGCTGAGGCCACGGAAGCTTTGAAGAGGTGCATGCTTGAGATCCGCCCGACACCTTGGCAGAAAGTCAAGCTCATTTTCACGATGATTATGAAGTCTGTGAGCATGGTTCGTTACCACCATATTGTTCAACACGTCGAGTCCAGCGAGTCGTCTTGGTGGGATCGATTGGGAGATTGTGAGATCCAGCAACTCACTCAACAGGATGCAACGTGTGCTTTCAGCATGTTGCACAATTTAATGCATGTTCTCAGGCACAAGAGCATCCATCCACTTGCGCTGCTGCGCATATCCGTCGCAACGCTGGGAGAGGCGGCACACCAATGCTGTAACATGGGACGCTTGTGGCGTTGCGTGGTGGTCGCGATTCATGTATGAGGGGGGTATTCGTGGCTCTTGTAGCCGCCCGTGCAAGCTTGAAGGATGTTGGAGGGCATTGGAGGCATCTTGAAGAGATGTTGAGCAGTGCTCGGACGTCCTCGGGTTGTCATGAGGCGTCTTGGGCCAGACTTTGGGCCGTCTTGGGACCGTGTTGACAGGGTGTGATGCCGTTTTGGCTGTTCTTGGTTCTCTCTTGGGTTGGTTTTCCCATGAGGGTCCTTGGGAGCTTGGGGACGCGGAGGACCTCCGAAAGGCCCCAGCACCACCATAGATTATGAGTCTCGGTGCTAGTCATGCGGCTTCCTTGGGGTTGCTTCGTGGGGCACTCGCTATTGTGGAAGAATCTCTACGTGGTTGCGAGCCCCACAGGGCTTGATACATGCCTGCCGACGCAAGCGCGATGGCGGACGTGCCCGCATCTTTGTCGCGGTTGCTCACAGCAGCAGCCAGCCGTGCAGGAGTCCCACCATATGCAGCAACGAACACTATGATTTATTTCAATTGGGAGCACAAGAGCTTACGCGCCAGCGACAACTACGAACCTGCGCAGTTGGCACATGGCATAGTGCCGCGCTTTGCACTCCTGTCGCCGAGCCAAGGACAATCCTCCATGCGGAATTTCATACTGCTGCACCTTGAGCAAGAAAATGCTGCTTCGGTTGCGTTTCATGCTTTTTCGCAAGCAGCACTCGGCGCGGACTTGCACAACGCTACCCATGTATCTCAGTCTCTGGAGCAAGCGTTGTATGCTCTTCGCGGCATCAATAAGATCTTCCGAAAGTATATGACTGCGGGATCAATTGTACCTAGTGATTGGCGGGATTACATGCTTCCCTTTCTATCGACCGATGATGCGGGAAAGGGCGGCGTCACGGGTGCTGAGTGCAGCTTCGTTCGCGGTTTGGACACGATTTTCGGAGCTCCGGAAGCAAGCAATGCCGACACACACAAACAGTTTGACATCGCCTCTGCATCCTACACGACTCAGCAAGCAAATCTCATGGAACATTTGAAGCAAGCAGGAAGCGCCATCCGCACGTACGTGCCAGAATCAACGACAGAGATAAAAACATTATGGCAAGCTTGTGGTGATACATTCCTAAATTGGCGTGCGATGCACTACCGCCGTATCCAGAAGTTCGTTCACGAAGATTACCACACCAGTGCAGGAAATACGCACACGTCTGCTGGGGGTGTCTTCAATAAGCTCGATGATCGAATCAGGGACTTCGTGTCGATTAATATGGCCGACGCCACATCTGCATACCCCTTTATAATGGAAGGCCGCGGCTGCCTTTGCACGGGCGTTGCTACGGCAAAGTTAATGAACGGAGGTGTGGAATAGACAAGGAAGAGGATGAGGGAGAGAAGGGGAGGGGGATTGGATCAAGCTAGGTGCGCTCGCGTCATATCTGACATCCTACCCCTCCCTCCCATCCCTTACCATGGCGCAGATCCCCTCTCTACTCGCACAGTCGGATGTCAAGCAGGGCGATGATCCCGAAAGGGTACGCGATGCATTGTAGAGCACGGCATGGCATGGCGTAGAAGAGCACCGCGAAGCGTAGTATCAACCTAGCATTGCATTGCATGCCGTGGCATGGCACGGGAAATGACGCCAGCGCTGCAGCGGGAGCACGAGTCGAAACGAGCGGAAGCGCGGAAATGAGGCCAGCGCTGCAGCGGGAGCACGATTCGGAACGAGCGGAAGCACGGAAATGGGGCCAGCGCTGCAGCGAGAGCACGATTCGGAACGAGCGGGGCCCGAAAATGAGGCCAGCGCCTCAGCGAGAGCAGCATTTTGGGGAAAATTGCAGGCGAAAACCTAACTCCTGGGAAGGCTTCCCGGGCGCCAGAAGCAGAAATTCAGCATTTTCAAAAGAAAAAATTGTATTGGAATGGCCTTTTTTTGGCGCCGCCTCGGAACTCGATTTTCCGGCGCCGGCCGGAACCGGCTCCGGACCCGGCCCGGGCGCCGGATGGAGGGGAGATGATATGATGGTGATGATGACAATGAGTGGTGAGGAGGAGGGGGAATGCATCGTGGGGAAGGAAGCTTTCTGACTCTTCGGGGAGGCCCCTTTTGGTAATTCTTCTTTTTTTTAAATAAGACGAAGAAGCAGAAGAAAAAGAAGAACAGGAAGAAGAGACATTACCATACAGTGGAGACCCATGCCAAGAAACACCCTGCTTGCCTCCAGGGTGCCCTTGGTTTCTTGGGTTTCGATGGTTTTGCTGTGGACGTCCTGGGGTCTCAGGGTTGGGTTTCTTCTGGAAGGTTTCTTGTGGACTGGCCTCCACTGTACGCTGTCGGAGTTTCGCGGCGGCGTTTTCCACACCTGCACCCGACCCCCTTCTGGCGCCGCCCTTGGCGTCGCCCCTGGCGCGCCGGATTCGCCAGAGAGGGGCGTCTAGCACCGATCCAAGACATCGGCGGTGACCTCTGCAAGCTCGTGTTTGTGCGATGTGTTTTGCGATGTTACAGTCGGGGCCCTGAAGAAAAAACCCTTTTCGTTTGGGAGGGGCT